ATAAAATCTGTAGTGAGATAAGTGCACTCAAATTGTTTTTTTTTTTTTTTTTGTAATAAATAATTGCAGAGCAGTCGCAAGCGTAATAAACTTTCTCTGATTAAACGAATAAAGCGATAAGATACATGTTGTTGGGGTTTTTTATGGTATACATAAGCAGTTTCCAATTGCGACTAAACAAGTTTTGCTTAAAATCGAATTGTTGTTAAATAAACTTTATATTTTTTACTCACTTTTTAAATTCTTTTCATTTTGGAAGACATTCAAGAGACGGGGATGATTATAGCCCAATGGTATTGAGGAAATTTGTGTATAGACGTCAAGTAACACATTACCATCGACATCAACCAAATAATTTCCAATTGACTTCTCATAGTCAGCGAAAAGTTGAACTGGTTCAGAGTTCTGAAAAAGTTGAATGCATTAATTACCATATTTGTATATACAGACATATATTCCAAAAACAACAACACCTAAAATAATATTAAAACATGAAGCCACTTCTGTTTATCTGGAATTATATTAGTTTATCTTTTATTTACACTGACTTTTTAGATCTATTATATATTAATTTTAAAATAAATAAATTGGCTATGAATTAACTTTATTTCGTTCATACATATATAATCTTTAATTTGCTGCAATAGTATTCTTCCTAATTTCCTTGAAAAAAATACTTTAGGTTCGAAGGTGTCGGGCGATTTTTTTTTTGTTTGCTTGTATACATAGAAAGAGGATCAGTCCAGCGCCTTCGTCTTGACCTGGAGGCTATGTGTACATGAAATACTCTTTTTGATTGTATTAAATTATATTTAATAAATCAATATCAATTGCAAAATATTAATACATAGCAATACAGAAGCAGATCAACATTAACTTCAATCATATGTACCTTCATATGACATGAAGTGTATCATTATTTCGATTCATTTTTATTTCGTTTCATACGGCAGAAATTTGTATTGCTTTTTATATTCGTGTTCGTTACACTGTTAACATTTTACACAGGTGGAAACCCTCTTTAATGTTATAAATTCCCAAACTAAATATTTCTTAATACTACCTTGTTTGACGCCAAAATTGCAATATTCCATATAACTAAATTTAATTCTACTTTTCAAACAGATGGCAATCCTGTTCAAATAATTTTTAAACCAAAACTTCGTCTGACACTTGTGTATTGTGATACATAATTAAATTATCTAATACTCTTAATTCAAATGAATTTAATTATAAAATCAGGTGGCAACCCTCCTACATGCAGTTTAGAAATAAAGTTCTTTTGAAGTAATTTATTTAACCTAATGCTAATCTGACATTCATATCAGGATAAACATTTCAATTTTCTGCCTTTATTTAAGTCGAACTTGCTTTTTAAACAGGTGGCAACTGTACTACATATAACTAAAAAATAAAGCCTTTTCGATCGATACTCATAGTGTAATAATTGATTTAACTTAAAAATAATTTGAATTAAATTTGTTTATCAGGTAGAAACTCTTTTTGAAAAAATAAGAAGTTATTACACATCCGCAGGCCAAGCCCTTTAATTTGATACCTCATTTTGTAAAATCGAACAAACGGTACAGATTTGATAAAGGCGAATCAACTACAGGTGATAGCGATAGAAGCCATGATTATTCTTATGAGCACGCTTGTGTCAAATTATCGCCTGTTTTGCTGTGTTTACATATCCGCGTATAAATACATACACATATACGTAAATTAATTTTAATTTTTGTTTCAACGTCTAGTCCGTGACCCCGAATGTAATTTATACTTACATATCGATAACTACCAACACTTTTTTCGAAACTGCGTTTTTCGCAGATTTTGTGGGATATATTAAAATTTAAATTAATAAAAATTATAGTCTAAGTACCAAAAACAACGGAGTTACATGCCACTTTTTAAAAAACCCTACCTGTTCTTGTTATACTCTTTATAAATATATTTTTTTTGCTTTTCCTGTAAAATTAGAAAATTTGTTGGTATGTACTTTTATGGTATTTAAGTCTAGTGCCCGCGTACCTAAGTCTTTGAATGATACCTTAATGAAGTGTCGTCTCACTTCAATTAATAAACTATTAAATACACACAAACAAATATTCTTTTATACATATAAATGCACAAACAACTAAATCACTGTTATAATAGACAATTGAGTGACAACTTGAGCCCGACAATTTTTTAAGAAAATACTATATGTACATACTTAATTGTTTACTACTTACTTGTATTGCGCTTAATTTCCCCTTCAATTCCAACGATTTTGGGCCTGGTATGGTTTTTGTTTTGACGGCAGGCGCCGCTGGCTCCGCCACAGTGGCATAATTTCTAGGATATGCCAAGCCTTAGAAGGACACGAGGACATGGCAAATGCAGAGCGAAAAGATTCCAAAAAAAAATAACACAAAAGGATACGTACAATATTAGGCGATTAGGCAACACCAAATGAACTTAATCGATTTTTAGAGATGTCTCTGTTTTTTTTTCCTTTTTCATTTTCACGAAATTTACCTTTTAAAATGGCACAATGTCTCGACACTACCGTTGCTTGCAGGAAACGCATGTTTATTACTATTTTATTTATTAAATCAAGACACCAAACAAAGAAAATAAAAGAATTAATAAATTATCGTAGCTATTGTGTGAAGTCAATATGACTGTGTTTGGTTGGTTTTGTATAGCCAGCCAACCGTTGCTACCGTCTCACTTTCGGAATCAACGTTAAACACTACTATTTATGAAAGAGCAGCAGCATCCAGGGCAGCGAATGGTCGATTGTTCGGTTGCGGTCTGGTACTGTCTGCCTGCCTGGCTGGTGTACTGGATTGTGCGCACAATGTCAATGCGGAAATTTTACGCTCCCTAAAATTGGTTATCATTAGGGGGTACACGAGTAAAAGTTAACGCTCTGTATGTATGTATGTATGTACATATGTAGGGGTGTACATATTGATGTAAGAACATACATATGTATGTATGTATATAGTATACTTATTTAAGTATACAAGCGATAGTTAGCGAAATTGACGATACCGCGGCGATACGACTGCATACATATGGAGCATGTACCTTCCAGAGCGAACAACCTGTTTGTTGTTTGTAAGTTTATTATCAACAAAAAGTAGAAACTTCTGTGAGAATTCATAAATTTAAAACTGAGTACATATTTATCCACTAAATGTATACATACATCTCGTCGTTTAAAGTAAAAAACCGCGTATCTTCATTCTGCAAAACCGCGTAACCGACATTTGCTGCCAAAAATTGGATTTGCTCACACAAGCTCTTGGCTCAATCCTTATCCATTCGTCCTGAAATATACCAGCCAGAAATGCGAGTGCTTTATAAAAAAGAGAACCATTTTGAGTATTTTTACTCTCTAGAAAATAATTTATGAAAATTCACATGCGCGGTTTTTTATTATCTTGATACGCGGTTTTCCATTTTGTTGATACGCGGTTTTGTACTTTAAACGACGATATCAAAAAAAAAACTTCTCTTAATTGAAGAAAAACAGCAATAAAAATGAAGAAAAATGGAAACGAAATAGCACTAAAGAAGTTTTATCCTCTTTTCATGCCCAACATTTCTTCAAAATGATAGGTTACATCCACGGTTCCATATTTTCGTGTACGTTTTTACACATTCCAAAGAAAAATTACTCATTCGGGAGAATTTTTTATTCATTCGGAAGAATTTTCGACCTTAAAGTAAGGAAAGTTTTTCTTTGATCCAGAGATGGATTTTTGGTTCAGTGCATATATAAGTACATACATACATACATATGTACGAATATATGTATTTACATACATATAGTGACTCACAAAAATATGTACAATAAAAACCAGATATGTATGTATATAAAAATTTCAAACTGTTCATCAAAGTTTCTAACTTTTTAATGCGAGGTTTCACAAAAAGTTCGAATAGCAGTTTTATAACCCATTCAATTATTGTATAAAGGAATGCAATACTCGAATGTTTTGTAAAAATTCTTATTAAAACGCTTGAAAATTCACTAAATTTTCCTTAATGTTCTTCAAAGTTTGAAATTTCGATTTACATGGTTTTTTTTTGTGAAAAAAGTATGAAAAAATTTACCATGAAAAACATTTTGAAAACCAAAAAAAAAATTCAATATTTTTCTGTGAGTCACTGTATATATGATAGGGTGGCCGTTAAATGTAGGAAGCAAATTTTTACATCAGATTCCTAAGCCTCCATCCCTACGTCGATGCTACTATAGTCGAAGATATCACATATAAATTTTGGCCCCAATTGAAATCGGTTAAGGCGTGTCGAAGTTCAGATTACTCTATGAAAACGTCTTAACCGACTGCAATCGGGACCGAAATTCATTTGTCATATCTTCGACTTTAGTACCATCGATTTTGTGTATTAAATGAAAAAGATATTTTAAATTTTTTGAGGTTCTGGCCTTTGAACCTATTGCGACATGCCTGAACCGACTCCAATCGGCCCAAAATTTATATGTGGTATCTTCGACTATGGTAGAATCGATTTTGGGTATTAGATGAAAAAAAAAATAATTTTAATTTTTTGAGTCTCTATAGAGGATTCTGAACTTTTCCCTACTGTGCGGCACGCCTTAACCGTCTCCACTCGAAATCAAAATTTATATGTAATATCTGTGTTGTATTACCGACTGAGGGGATGAGACTGAAAAAAATCGTTCATTTGTTTCTTAAAGTACCAGCCTAATGTACATATATACATACATATATATGTATGTATATATAAATTTAAACAAGGGGAAATTTTGGAAGAATTGGTGAGTGAGTGCGCCACATGTCGTGCTCCAAATAGCAAAGTAAAAATAAAATATAAAAAATCGTATCAAGTGCATAGCAAACATAAACTATAAGGTTTATTTAATTAATGACAAACATACACATACAAACGTATATACATATGTATGTATGTATGTATGCATAAAGTTATACTTAAAAACTGCCTAGTACTTAATAGGGTGGTTCATGGGTCCATTGAATAATTTTTCTCTCGGAAGACCTCTGGCTTGTGGTTCAACAATTCAACCAGAACCTGGCATAGATGCGCCCATGGTTACTATGCCCGGCAGCTCCGCATACCTTTGTGAGTCTATTGCCATGGCGCGTTCTTACTCCGCTGCTATAACTGCAAATGCATCAGAATCCATAATTTTCCTCAAAATATTTGAAATCGAGCAATTTTACTAAGTTCTTTACCGTACGCAACGCGGGATCCCGCGGGTGCCTAAAATAGCCCAGAAATCATTCCCGTACTCAACAAAATGGGTAATAGAGAGCGAAAATTGAAACGTATTGGATCGTAAGTGTCTTCTTCTTCCTGCCCGAAACAGCCAGGACTTTTTCTCCGGGTAAAAATGGATAAAGCGTCAAAGTGCATATCAGCTGTGTTGTGTTTACATGTTGCCTGCATTTACTTGGTGCTTTTAAGGAATAGTGAATGTATTTTCAATCTTTATATTCTTAAAATCAAATTTGTGAAACAAAAATTCAATTTCCAAGAGTTTGCATTTAAGTGACAAAAACAAACACACCGCGAATAAGCTGTTTCTCAAATTCTGGGCACGAAATGTGGTTTTTTGCGTTCCCGTACTTCTGGATTATGTTCCATTTTTGAGAGCAAACTTTTCGCTTATTCTCTAATTACCGGATCCGACCCGGATTGTTAGGGAAAGAACCTACCATGATACAAAAAGAAGGTAGTTTCATTTAATTACATTCGTTGTTGTTGACCATTTGACTTTTAATAAAATTATGACATTTCATTAAATTCATGCTACCTGATCACGAGCAGTAATATTTTTTTTTAAGCAGAAGATTTCATCAGTCCACTCAAAGATGTTGAATATGATGAACCTGAAAATTAATGCATAATCTCAAAAAGGGGGTTGACGAACGGATGAAGAAAGTGATCAAAATTATACATATGCTAATTGCTTATCGGAGGGCGGTCTGCGCGAGCCGAATTCAAGTTTTTTGCTTACATTGGCAATTTTAAATTCGAAATTTGTTGAAGTTAATGGTGATACGAATTTTACCACGAATCACGAATTTCATGTGAACAAATATTTCCAAAGTTATAAAGTAAAACAAATATAATTTTTCCTAATTTGTCTTTATGGGAAGGCATGGAATATTAATAGCTGCGGTCCAAGAGGCGAAGTTGCACGGAAATTCAACCCTGTTGAATCGCGCCGGATACAACGTGCACCGTCGAGATCGCGAGCGAGATAATGGTGGAGGTTTAGCGTTCATCACGCACCACACCGTGCAGTATCGTCTTATTGAAGCAGACATCGACCGCAGGGATACCATCCTAGAAAGTCAGGGTATTGCTATCCGGTCCGGCGATGTTGAGCTCGAAATATTTAACGTATACATACCATACCCTCTGTCACCTGCTGCCCGGCAGCCAACAAAGGAGAGTCTTTACGCCCGATAACCCTCCTTTCCCCGGTAGCGAAGATACTCGAGGTCCTGCTGCTCCCGTATTTTACGAACCACCCGATCCCAGCGAAGCATCAGCATGGGTTCCGTAAAGTGCATAGCACAACAATAGCACTTAACGCCAGAAATACTCAGATAACTCGTGGCCTTAACCGAAACTGCCCCTGTGAGAGAACTATTCTAGTAGCGTTGGACCTGTCCAAGGCATTCGACACTGTCAGTCATTCAACGCTTCTAGAAGGTATAGAGGCCTCCTCACTCCCACAGGGACTCAAAAGGTGATCGGCGAATTACCTGAGTGGTCGACACTCGTCAGTAATTTTCAGAGACAAAACTAGTAAGCCACGTAAAATCAAACAGGGGGTACCACAGGGTGGTGTCCTGTCCCCGCTACTGTTTAATTATTACATTTCAAAGCTTCCTCAACCACCAGAGGGGGTTAATATTGTCTCCTATGCTGACGATTGTTCGATCATGGCGTCTGGCAATGGAATTGATGACTTGTGCTCGAAAGTAAACGGTTATTTCGCCGAACTTTCTCGCTTCTTCACTGCAATTAGCCTTGCCCTATCCCCTGCAAATCCTCGGCAACCCTATTCACCACCTGAACGAAAGAGGGCAGACTGCAACTGGGTATTCACAACAACAATACCGACGGTGAATAACCCGAAAATCCTCTCCTTCTCGGCGCATGCAACCGCAATTGTCAATAAAGTACAGAGCCGCAACAATGTCCTCAAGTCGCTGGCCGGCAGCACTTGGAACAAAGATAAAGAAACATTGTTGGCAACATACAAGGCAATTGGCCGGCCGGTTCTAAACTATGCAGCGCCCGTGTGGTCGCCGGGGACTAGCAGGACGCAGTGGATGAAGCTACAGACCTGCCAAAATACGGCATTACGAAGAGCGACCTGCCTCCTGATGACGCCCCAACACCACCTACATGACGAGGCCCAGATGCTCCCAGTCAAGGAGCATAACATAATGCTCTGCGAGCAGTTCCTTGCGGGGAGCCACAGACGTGGCCATCCCAGCGGACAGCTGCTTGCGGAAGAGCCCTGCCAAGGCACATCAGGAGGCTTCTTTACGAACTGACGGACGAAGTCCAGAGGTTTATTAAACAACCCCTGGACCCGTCAACCTACCGACAGAACCTGAACGGCATTCATAGGGAATCAGTCTCGAGTTATGTAGACTCCCGCCCTGTGAATGCCGTTCCAGGCACACAACCACCGGACGTGGACGGGACAGAACTTTGTCTGCCTCGAGAGACCCGCACTAGAATAGCCCAACTTCGCTCTGGCTACTGCAGCAGGCTAAACTCTTGCCTAAGCAGAATCAATGAGGATGAGCCCAACCAATGTCCGCCATGTGGAGAGTCGCCACATGACCCCCGGCACCTCTTCACATGCCCTGAGAACCTCACTCAGCTGACGCCCCTGTCCCTATGGACAAACCCTGTGGAAGTCGCACACTTCCTGGGCTTCCCCCTAACTGAAATAGACGACAACGTTGACGGATGAACCGACCCGAGCGGGGCTTAGTAGCCGCTACAACAACAACAACAACAACAACCTAATCAGCCATCGTTGCATTTGTAATGGATTTTCAGAAAAAAGTTTTCGTAGCGTTTTTGACGTTTTTCGGTTCTCTTTACACCGTCTTCTACCTCTTCGTAGTGATTTTTTAGCGATTGAATGTGTTTTCTGCAGCGATTTTAATTGTAAATTTTGGTTTATTACATATTTATGATATACAAGTAATTTTTAGCAAAAAAAAAACCGACTTCAACTCCCATATAAAAAAAAATATATATATATATATATATCTCATGATCCACTGATCGGATCTCAACCAGATTAGTATGGGACCACCTCTGAGACCCTACCTTTCCGATTCAAAAAGAATTATCGAAATCGGTTTACGTGGTCCAAAGTTATGCGGTAACATACATAAAAAAAAAAAAAATATTCCGACGAACTGATAACCTCCTCCTTTTTCGGAAGTCGGTTAAAAATGAAGTGCTGTGTGATTGGAACAAGTTTGTGCATATTTTTGGTTTGCCAAAAGGTGTAAATTTGCGTGAAAAGTGGGTGTACGTTTGTAGCCAGAACGGTGGCATTGAAAAATCGATCCGTGGTAATGATATGCGATTGTAAAACACTTTCAATCATGAAAACCATATTTTATGAACTCTTTTTGCTAATTGTTGTTGTTGTTGTTGTAACAGCATACAAACTCCCCAAAGACTTTTTGGGGAGTGTTGCTGGAGTGACAGTCCTTGGCCAGATATAAATCTGGGTCGTTCCGGTTACGTAGACCCGACTGTCGTGGGAACGACAGCTAATTTTCATCAAGTTTCACTTTGTATACTTTATAATTAATACCAATTTAATCGCACTCAATCACCGCGCCTTTTTCGTTTTCTTTGTTTGTTTTCATTCTTAGGCAGATGTCAAAAACGCTCAGAAATATAAGCTCTGATCCATACCTTTCGTGAAAAATCCTGTAAAACTGTCAAACAGCAAAATTACTCTCTGAAGTGCGAGTAAAAAGTGAGTAACAACAAAAAGTACGAGAACATGAAAACCATTTTTCCTGTAAAAACGTCAACCAGTGATTCCTTGACACTTTTCATGATTTTACCAGAAGAAAAAATTCGAGTAAAATCTTGCAACTTCATTCTCTACACAACTCTCCAAAAGTCGCTCTAATTTACAGGATTTTGGAGTACGGGAACATTTTTCCTGCAACTTCCTGCAAGTTCGAGTACTGGATCAGAGCTATACTTTTTTCTTGCTTCTTTGATTAGGTGATCTTGTATTTTTGGTTCATGGGTCAGAGCTGTTCTAATTGGTTCATGCGTCCTAACGGGAGCGTTAACGGATTAATTGTGTTGCTTGCCGCGTTGACCGTCGCTTTCAAGGCGAATTTATACGCCATTAACACCACCTTGTATAAATTCGCCTTGGTCGCTTTGCTGTTTTGCAAATCTTGCAAATCTTGTAGCGATTATTGTAAATAGACGTTGCAAAAGAAGCAGCATTGACTTACTAAATAGTTTCATGTCACACATTTCGGGATGGTATTTGGGATATCTATTTTTTGTTAAATAGTACAAAAAAATGTGGACAATTTCTCAGGAAACAAATTGGGACGAATTAAAATGTATTATCTCGAATGGTGATGGTGTTGATTGTCGAGATGCCTTGATACAAATCAAAGATGCCGTCATTGGTAGTAACAAACAGAAGGGTGCACTCCTCTCGCACGAACTGGTTCCTGTCATACTCAACACTTGTATTGATCAAGATCAAAGCCCAGACCGGAAAATGGATGCACTCGTAATTTTAGGTGAGCCTTACACTACTGGAATAAACGCCGCAAACGCCCAAGAAATTCTGCCAGCGGATGTGTACATGCTTTTGAACGTAAGTTTGTATGTGCAATAGCGCTGTCGCAAATTATATATATGCGCGTCTATAACAATAATACGGGATGAAGCCGCTGCTGAGTCATGCTATATACTTCCTTGGGCAATATTGGCTGGAATTTCGCGTGAATATGCATACATACATATGATGCACATAGATCCCTAAGAGATGATCGTATCATTGAGAGCCGGTAGTTTTGAGTAGCATAATATATTTGTAAATAAGCCGGCTAAGATTTTGAATTTGATTTTTTTTATCGTCCATTATATTTTCTATAAAATAACACGCTTGCATTTATATTTATTATAAGTTTATTTGCATCCTCCACGCAGGTTCGTTGGCGAAAGGATCAGAGGAGCAAGTTGAAATGCTGGTCAGACAATATAATGTCGTACCATATTTGCTGAAGGAAATTGTTTCCAAGAATAATAGTAAAAAATGTGTTGAAATATGTCTGAGCACGTTGCGGTCAATATTTGAGCATCCTTGCGCTCCAAAGGAAAACTTCCTTGCTGATACGGACGTGTTGAAGCAGTTTTTGCGTGAGTTAGACTTTACAAGTTTTTATTTTAAATGGTAAACTATTTTTATAACTCAAATCTTTTAGGATTAGCTTCAGCCAACAGTTCATTAAAAACACAAATATGCATAACAAGCATACTTGTATCCGCATGTCAGACAAATGAGGATCAACTGCGATTGCTACAAGCTGGAACTTTGCATATACTATCTCGAATGATTTGTTATGACAATGAAGATATACAAATACCAGCGCTGCGCTGCTTATCCTGCATGTGCTATTCGAATCGATCGGTAGCGGACAATATTTGTGTTATTAGGTAAAATATCGCTCAACAAACATACATATTTGTACTATATATAATCTTGTTTACTTCCCTAGTTTTCAAGGCAGATCATTACCCGATATCCTGAATTCGCTTATGTCGAGACTATTTTGCCCAGAAATACAATTGTCTGCGGCTAGATGCTTAACATATGTTTACAGGTCGGGTACGTTGCCATCCACAGACAACAGAATATCTCAAAAAGCGCTTCCCACCTTAGCCCGCTTATGTGCCGAAAGTTTTGATCATTCAATTCGAGCTTCTGCTTCGGAAACGCTTGCATATCTCATAGAGGTGGTATTACAACTTGTAAAAAGTAAAAAATAATGCATAACATTTTTTTCTCTAATTTAGATTGACTCCGACCTGCAACGAACAGCGGCCATAACAAATCATTTGCTGAAGTCACTATCTGATTTACTGCAAAGTCAAGACCCCTCAGTTAAACAAGCTGCGCTCTGTTGTTTTGCGTCATTAGGTGCAAATGATGAGGCGATCCGAAAGCGGCTAATGGATACTTTCGGGCTGATCAATGCTATATTGAATGGTTTGAAGGATGACAACTCACAGGTGAGCGGTTTTGCGTAACCGAACATTTCTTTGCCACATTTATCATGCACATACCCAAAAAACTTATCATATTTCTTGCGTTATAGGTCAAACTAGCAGCGATTAGATGTCTACATTCGCTTTCAAGATCTGTTCAACAGCTGCGTACCACATTTCAAGTATGAAAATAGAAGATATTTTATTAAAATCCCGTATTTGTGTAATATTTATGCGTTTAAACAATTTTCTAGGATTACACAATTTGGGAACCACTGATGGACATATTTGCAACCGAAACGTCTCTTGAATATCTGGTTGCTGTAACTTCTACCATTTGCAATCTACTATTAGAATTTTCACCATCCAAGGAGCCCATTATTAATGCTGGAATTATTGACCGATTGTGCCAATACACTATGCATGAAGATCCCTCCCTAAGATTAAATAGCATATGGGCTTTAATGAATATGTCGTTTCAGTCTGAGCTGTATGTTAAAACCGATGTTATCAATACTCTTGGAACAAAGCGAATTTTGGAGTTGTTGAATGATCCTGACACTAGGATTGTGATGAAATCATTAGGGCTGTTAAGAAATCTATTGAGTAAAACTCACCATGTTGAAGTTATTATGGGTACACACTCGTCTCAAGTGCTCGAAGCTTTAAATAAGTTACTAGAATCCAAACATTCGGCGGAGGTCAAAGAGCAAGTGTTCTGTATTATTGGCAATATAGCCGCTGAAGCTGAGAATGGAGATTATATTATAATGGATAAGAAAATAATGGGACACTTGGCTGGATTTTGGGTATGGTATTAATTTTGAGCCAAGTTAAAAAAAAAACTAAACATTTAAATCTATACGAATTACAGTTCTATCTCGATAGAAAACTTCAAGCGGGCGCGCTCTTTGCTATCTATAATCTTGTGCACCGAAAGGACTTGTGGTCAATGGAAAAGTATTCTCGTCTAAGTGAATTGAATATCATTAAACATATTTATGCATTAAATAAGAAAACTATACGGGAGGAACCACAATGTGAAGACTATATAAGCAGAACTTTAAAGCAAATTGTTATACAATGTAAACATTTCTACCCGGAGATTTTGCAGTAAATACTAAAAAAAAATATATACACTATAATGTACATATGATTAATTGTATTATTACAACGATAGTTTTCTGTTTTCATACAGTTTTTGTTGTTGAAATATACTGTAGCGTTTTGAACGTAAGTTGTTTTGATAATTAAAAACGCAAAAAAAAACACCGTAGACAAAAAAAAATCAAAACACGAAACAATGGGCCGGATATACTAAAACTGTGTTTTTAGTTTTTCACTCTGAAGTCAGGATTTTTTAAAGGACTTAAATTTTAATAATATGACTAATTCGAAAAATTACTTAAAAGAATCAGTAGAATTTACAATAACAATATGGGTACCAAATGAAAGAGAAAATTAATTATTAAATTAAAGTTTTTAAATTTTATTTTTTTAAGTTAATAAAGTTAAGAGGACGAAATTCGAAGATGTAGTCGTGGGCTTGTTCGAGTTTCAATCACAACCGCAGTGTTGCGTGAATAATTAAAGTATCACGTTCTGTGTGAATTTATAGCAAAGTATTTTCAGTTGGGCTGTTGCAACAATGTTCCATTTTTCATCAGTACGGCAGTAATGCCGCTTTTATTACGTGCCTCGAATAGGCCCCGTGTGTATATTAGTCCTTCATATATAAGGATATTCAAGGATAAAATTTTAAAGGAAATTTTCCATACCCAATCTACAGGATTTTCTCTTTTATCTGATACCCACAATGTAATTCTACATTAGGATGAAATTTTTTAAAAATTTCCTGAAATAATATTTGTGAAATTTCATAGTCCTTTAAAATACTTTTACTATATTTTGCCCATATTTTCGCGAATATATTAATTTTTGTGTGTAAAATTTACGGTCGCACGGTGAAATACATACATATGTATTTTGTGTATATGTATGTAGTACACAAACTTTGCAAAGAGTTAGGGTTCTCCGAGACTATAAACAAAATCTTATAAAAATTCAAAAATACTGGAAAATCAATATATAGCTGTTTTTGGCATTAACACTGACCCCAATAATTAGAATTTTGGAACATTTGAAGGGAGATACTTACCCTGGGATTCAGTCAGCGGTCTCTAGTCACTAATAGTGACTTTTCGTGGTGAGACTATTTGGTATTCAATAAGCTGTCTCACGCCTATAGTCTCAAAAAAGTCACTAATTTGTCAGATGGCTCTGAGCTGGTCAGAAAGAGAAAAATTTTCATTTAAAAAACGCGAAAATGAAACGAAGACATTTTCATCAACAACAATTTCATTAGGAAATAAACCAAAATGCTTTACTATGATGATTCATTGAAAAACGATTGTTTTTTTTACATTAAAACTTAAGGATTGTGTAAAAAAAATAAAACTACTCAAAAAAGGGGAAAAAATAGAACTACTCAAAAAAAGAAAAAAAAAACAAAACAAAAAATTCCTGCGAGAACTCGAAGCCGGATCTCCCGAGCGGCAGCTTAATGCTTCGACCACTCGGGCCATTGCCACTCTTCAAACGCCGCGAGCAAAAGGCATACATACAGTTGTCCACAAAATAATAGGAGTGCGATATTTTGACCAGTTTTGGCTATTTATCTTTTGTTTATTTAATGTTTATTATTTTTTTATAAAAGCCTAGCTGGCTATACAACAAACACCATATATATTCAGATTTTAAACTTTGTATAAAAATTATAAAAATTTTGCAATTTTTCACCCAAATTTCAAACTTTTTAATCAGAATCTTTAGAAAAAATTCTGGTATGCAGTTTTGTAGCACATTCAATTATAGTCTGAAGAAGTGCAAGTTTCAAGCGGCTAAAAAATTCCGTTGATTTTTGAGAATTTTTTTGGTTAAAGGTGTTTCACGTTTTTTCCATACAAAGTATGTCGACAATTTTCTTTTATATGGAGGACACTGCCAGCAAAAAAATTGCCAAAAATCAACGGAATTTTTTAGCCGCTTGAAACTTGCACTTCTTCCGGCAACGCCACGTTCCACAAACAGCTGTTTATTACAGGCTAACCTAATATTCGCGGCTTGCGTTATGGTACGCATGCCGTCGAATTTGTTTTTTTGCGTCACCCGAAATTGACTTGCATGCGTTTGCATTTGATTTCATTGAGCGAAACGTCAAATCAAAATGTCACGCAGAACAAAAATTGGAAATTGAGTTAGCTTCATACGCACGCCGTTCAATTTCGGTTGATCTCATACAAGTTGCATGTGCATGAGAAATTTTTGACAATAAATTGGCGGCGTGCGTGAATATTAGGTTAGCCTGTTAGGGTTATGATATTTTTCGATTAAAAAGCATGAGTGGCATAAACAGGATTTACAACACTGGAAAAGTTACGTAGAATTGTTCAAATATCAAATAGATTAAAATTAAAATATATTAAAACCAATTTAAATATAATATGGTTAATTTCCAGGTACCAACAAAGAACGTAGATAACAAGAAGGGACAACTCGTTATAATTGTGGCGAAAGTGCGCAACAGGGGCGTGCCTTCTCTTTTCATCCAATCAAAAAACGCACTAGGGCAAAAGACGTTCTTTGGTACCAACAGGTTTTATAAATTGAAAAGGAGGCCAAAAATGCCACAACCCTACTGTTTAGTGTTTCGCTAGTGCGTTGCCACTTTTCCAAAGCTCTTTATTTCATGAATTTGCGAACTATGCACAAACGGGACCTCTTTTGAATTCATGAAATGAAGAATTCGTGAATTCTGTCACATAAACGCAGTAATACATTCTTTTCATTACATCTGCCCTCAGTACCACAGAGAATACAACGGGTCTTGGACCTACACCCCAACCTGCCGTGTGCTAGTCTGCCGCAATCATAACATTTCTTAACAGCTGGAAAATAACGCAAAACTTAAAAATTTATGTAACAAATTTGCATATTTCCAGGCAATTAATTTCTTTCAAAACTTAACTTTATTGTCTGGGTATGTACCGAATTACGCCGCACGTTTTGACAAACGATATAGGATGAAGGCTCTCTGTTGGGTTTTATCTAATTCACATTCTCAAGCATTCATTTGCAAATTTTACTGATAAAAACACTATCTTGTAAAGCGTTCTGCCTACGGCTCGTATCTCTTTTAGGTCTTCAATGCCGAAATTTTTAATCTTATTCCACAGAAAAGCACCATTTTTTGCATATTTGTTGCCGATTTACCCTTTTCTGTCTACGTCTTTTTCGTTTCACAATGAGCTCGTCGAAGGACGTATTCGAATCCAAAAGATCCTCCGTGAAGATCCTCAAAGCCACCCGGGTCACCGATCCCCTCCGATGCCGAAGCGCACGGCATTTTAAATTAAACGGACAAACAGAAAACAAAGCCTCTTTGAAACATGTACCAAAACCGGCAAAACTAAAACAAACAAAAAATTAATTCTAGTGAAGTTTGAAAGAACCGCAATTTAATCAAATTGGGTTCCGACACGCAGATGTATCTCGCTCACCCTTCTTGATAGTCTTCGCGGGAAAACGATGAACTTTTATATTTTGTTATCATGATTCAATGAGAGTGTTCGCTATGCAAAAATTTTATACAGTTTGGTACCAATTGCTACCAAATCGTGTTCGTTTGGCCAAAAACCCAGTAAAACTTGCAAAGAGAGAGCACAATTTTAACATTTCATTTGGGGGGCAGTTGCAAATTCATGCTGGGAAAATTTTTACCAGCAAGGATTGTGGCACCCAGTTGCATTTCTGTCAACATTAATTTGAATCAAAAAGTTTGTTAAATTTACAACTGAACGATATTGTTGCGGTTTACTGATGAAAGAAGTATGTTAATATTAGGTTCGTTCGCGTAGCTGTTAATTGTTCATGTTTAACCAAAACTTACAGGTTTTTGCGTTCGCGTACGCAAAAAGCTTGCAAAGTAGGAGAAATTGAGAGAGCAAAGTGACATTTCATTTTGAGAGGAAGCTGTTAGTTTCTGTTGGAAAAATTTTTGCCAACAGCAATTTGCCAACAGGGAAACAGCTGATCAAAAACAGCTGGTTGGCATTTACGCAAATCACAAAATTTAATTTGATGGTTTGGAAGATAATAATTACAAAATGCGACAAATTAAACTTGTAAGAAATAAGTAGTTATTTGTTTAATCAATAAACTGTGTCAGTATAACACTTTTCGATGACTTTTCGTACGTTTTAAATTTTACACTTTTGTATGTAAACAAAAATTATATCAGCTGTTCGTCTAACTTGCAAGTTTCTGCAAATTTTCTGTTCGCGTACTATTTTGGATATTTCTCTCTTGTGAGCGAACAGATGACATTTCGCCGGAATTTGGCAGTTGGTTGGTTTCTGTTGGAGATTTTAAACGAACGCACCTATTGGTTTATTCAATTAATTTGATTAATTCCAAACATTTGAAAGGTACTCGGCTGAAAAAGCAGTATTCGTAATCCGAAATAGAGGTGGGTATAACTCAACTCAGACTTGAGTTATTGAGTTGATCATAAGTGAATCGGTAACTCAGACTCCTGTCCAAAAAAAATGTAACTCAGTAACTCAGTTGATGCCCTAGGGCTCACATAATGATCATAGTGGCTCATATTTGTCCATATAACTCGCTCACTTCGCCAGTGTTTAGCATGCCAAAGTCTTGCATTTTGTTTTTGCACGAAGTGAATTTATACAAGGTAGTAGCAAGAATACAACAACAACAACATGTATTTTGTATTGCCCTCCCTCTAGCACCGCCCCAATTAATTTGCACAAAAAAAAAATTTACACCTTTCAAATCTGTAGAAAGGAGCTGACCACGCCCACTTTAAAGTTTTGGTTTATCTCAACGGCCGCTATACCGCATTTATGCCTCAAAACGAGTCTACGACACGAATGAGTGTAACATACAAAGAGTCAAATGAGCTAGTTGAATGAGTGACTCATTAAAGTGAGTTGGGGACATTGAGTCAACTCCAATAAATTTGCTGAGTTACCCACCCTTAATCCGAAAGCAGTCGACACTAGAACTGGAAAACTATCGATAGTATCGATTTACAACTGTTTAAAAAAGTGGATAATTGAAAATTGGTAATTGTAACTGCTACGTTGAAGGTCAAACAACTTAATATCCATGCCGTGTGTGAATTGAGCAGTTTTCTGAGAATGGACGAATA